CTCGTGGCAACCTTTAGGATTTTTCTCCAGACGGTTGCTAGACGCTGAATCTAGGTACAGCACGTTCGGTAGGGAACTCCTAGCTATGTATTGTGCTGTACGGCATTTTCAACATTCCATCGAAGGAAGAGAATTCACGCTTTTTACCGATCACAAACCTCTTACCTTCTCTTTAAGTTCATCTTCAGACAAGTACTCACCAAGAGAGTCTCGACAACTCGACTACATTACGCAGTTTACTTCAGACATACAACATATTTCTGGAGCAAACAATGTAGTCGCAGACGCCTTGTCTCGAATTAGCTCCTTGAACAGTTTCCAAGGAATCGACCTTCTTAAACTCGCTCAGCTTCAAAAAGAAGACATTGATCTTCAGCATGAGTTATCCTCGACAACTCTTAAACTAAGTATTAGGCAGATGGGAACAGGTAAGGAAACCTTACTCTGTGACACATCTACAGGTAGGGATCGTCCAATTGTACCAAAACACTATCGCCGCAACGTCTTCAATACGTTGCACAATCTTTCTCATCCAGGTGCTCGTGCAACAATCGAACTTATAGCCGAACGCTTTTGTTGGCCTGGCATGAATAAAGACGTGAGGGAGTGGTCACGCTCCTGTGTAAGCTGTCAGAAATCTAAGGTAATCAGACACAACAAATGTCCCTTAGGTTCTTTCAAAACCCCTGACGCTCGTTTCGACCACGTCCATCTAGATTTGGTAGGACCCTTACCCGACTTGAACGGATACTCATATCTCCTAACATGCGTAGACCGTTTTACTCGATGGCCAGAAGCAGTACCGATTATGGACATTACTGCTGAAACAGTGGCTCGCACTTTCGTCGAACGATGGGTAGCAAATTTCGGCTGCCCTTCAACCATCACTACAGACCGCGGACGCCAGTTCGAATCTGGACTTTTCCGTTGTCTGACCACACTTTTAGGAATCACGCGCTTCCGAACGACCGCCTACCACCCACAAGCAAACGGGTTGGTAGAACGTTTTCATCGACAACTAAAAGCCTCATTATCAGCTTCAAACGTTTCACAGTGGACAGACGCTCTTCCACTCGTCTTGCTAGGTATCCGCAATGCAGTGAAAGCTGACATTGGATACACGGCATCTCAACTCGTTTACGGAACGACACTCCGACTCCCAGGAGAATTCGTGGATCCTTCAGCTTCTTCATTGAACATGGATCTAAACTCTTACACGAGTAGGCTTACAAACGCTATGCGTTCAGTTAAACCTGCTCACACTCGACCTCAATCAACTGATGTTTTCGTTCAACCCGAATTACGACATAGTACACACGTCTTCGTTCGTCGAGACTCACATCGACGACCCCTCGAATCAGCATACGAAGGACCCTTCAAAGTTCTTCAACGCGAACCTAAGTACTATGTAGTTGATAAGAACGGTACGAAAGATAGCATCAGTATCGATCGACTCAAAGCTGCGTACCTAGAAGGAAACCCTAGCTACGTCGATTTTCCTTCGGTACAAGCAAACGACACAGCTACTACACTCGTAGTACCCTACACGACAACCGACACACAACTTGATACTTCGTCAACGTCGATAGAAAAACCTAAAACAACGCGTTCTGGAAGACGAGTAAGATTTCCAGAACATCTTAACGAATATTGCACGTAGGACATAAGCTTTATCTTGAATTACCCTTTCATAGTCTATTATAAATTTTTTTATATGCTCATTTTTTTATTTATGTAAAAAAACAACAAAAAAAAACATTTTTTTGAGCGTATATATATATATATTTATATATTGAAAAAAAACCAAAAGAAAACCTTTTTTCCGATCGCTTTTACGCTGTTTGTAAGTGTATCAGTTTATTTTTTTCCGCTCATCTTGTGTCCTTACGCAAGTACGAGTGTATTTTTGACATGCACTCACACGTTTTATTTTTCCTCTTTTCCAGGACGGCTGGAAAAGAACGACGAAGTTTCGCAAGGAACAGAAATTTTCATTGTACTATATTTCTTTATTTGCTACGTTGTACATTTTGGTCCCATAGATTAAGGAAAGACGACCAGACGCTGCTAAACGAAGCAAGCTATCAGAAGAGTGTTTACCAACGACAAATTCGTTGGGTTTAAACTTCTGGCTGGTCACGTCTTAGGGGCATCACTACCTCACTAGGGGGGGAGTGATCTGTAGCTGTAAATAATTCCCCAAAATCAATAGCTCATTAAGTGTTCGACATTGGATGCTGACCACGTTGTTTAAGTGGACTTGTTTAGCTGAAGGCTTTCGGTCATGCATCCGCACCAGATCACGTTTCAATACTGCGTGGGACACAGCTCCTACGTTTCATTAGCCAGCTCATAGAAAAGGTCCTCGATATATTGGTAACGAATCAAATATATCTTTCCTGCCTCCTCTCGTCTGACTTCTGATTTCTATCTGACTGGGAACGACCGAACATAGAAGGTGCTACTGGTATCCAGTTGTAAAACTAGAATATCCGTTGCATCATCAATATAACACTTCTTCACTACCGCGACTCTTAAAATATAAACGTTGTATCCGCCGTCTATTCTTCTGCTTTAACGGACACGGCTTTTGATTGAAGATTATAATAGTATCATAACATTCTTTTAGGCCTTTCCACACTACTTTGGAACTTTGGCCCGGATCATTACTGAATCATTACTACTGGATTTAATCTTCTTCATTTTGCTGTTGGTGCCATCACGTGCAGAGGAACCTTTGTTAACCAAGTGAACTTATTTGTGATTGTTATCTCAGAAAGCAGCTTACAAGTAACATTCATTTTATAACACTGTTACTATTTTGTTACTCAATATACCTTTTTATAATTTAACTGTAATTTGTTACCTTTTGCGTTACTCATAGACATACGCTTAGTTTTGCAGTGTTAATTCTTTTGGTATATTGTCGGTAACTTTGCGTATTATTATATTTTGACTAAGCTCTTTCGCTGAGGTCCACCACAATCTGAAACCTGTTTAATAGTATGAAGATTCTATGAATATAAATTTTCTATTTAACCCTGTATATTACCTAAGCTAACCCCGTTTATGTGACGGAGGTAATAAGAAGCCAAATACGCTTTGCGCTGGATAAATTTATTTCAAGCACTGATTTATCCGAGCAGACATTCAGAATGAAAATTGGGCAAACGAAAAGCAGAAAGTGAGTGAACCAACTCCTTTTGAAAATCCATAACTCAATATTTATAGTAAGACAAAACTAAGATATAGACACTTTAGGAATAGGGTAAGCAATACATACACATATATACGATCATATAAAAACAGTCACGGCTAATAAGCGAACAATTGACAGGGTCAAAATGTGACACAGGAAGAATGAGTAGACTGGTCTTTACGGAAGCTAGAATAACTCATGTAGTCTTGAAGTGCTGTCAGACACTACAGTCTATTCACGAGTGCTAACAGTTTTCAGAGCATCATTACTCCTTAAATAGGACGTATTTCGGTATCGAAAATTTGATGTGGATACATATTATTCACCAGCATTTGGTATCCAAGACAGCACATTCACTTTTTGAGTATTCAGAACACGAAATTATTCACATAAACATTTATAGGCGTTCTTTAGATTATGCCGGACTGTGAAGGTAGTTAAAAAAAAACTTGTTTTGCAATTAGTTTTTGATATCATTTGTATTTCTTTCATAATTCCATTCGTAGTGTGTGATCATACGTCGGACAACGCGTAACTTTATTTCCCTCAGAACTTCCAATGTTCAGTATTCTTTAATTTTTATTTAAAATGAATCTGAAACAACTCAATTCTTTCTAGTTTTACGGCACGAAACCGGGTATTTCTTACACCTAAAAAGGATAGAAACAAACCAAGCGCAAATTCTAGGTAAATTCAGTTGACGATACCAACAGTATTGTAGTTTGACAACTCTTTACTAGTAACACCTTCTATAATCGAATCGTGCCCACCCAGTTAAAATCAGAAGCCAGAAGCGAGGAGGTTGAAAGACATATTTGATGGGTTATCAATATATCGAGAAATGACTGATCTAATCTGGCTAATGATTGTAGGAGATATTCCCCAGGCCGTTCTGTAACGTGATCTGGTGCGGATGCATGACCGAGCGCCTTTAGGTAAACGAGTCCATTAAAACTAATGTGGTCAGCATCCAATGTCGAACATTTACAGAGCTAGTGATTTTGGGGAATTATTAACAGCTACACAGTTTACTACCATGGCATTTGGTTTCTCTTCTTTGCTACTTAGATTTTAGGCGAACAAGTTACGACTGGTACAGTCTCAAATAAATCTCACTAGGCTGCCATTATGTGCATACGTTTAAGGATGCCATAGATATTCTGGGTTAAACAACGTCCGAGTCATTCAGGCGGAAGGCAGAATATTTAACGCAAGTAGTGGAAATAACAAACACTGGCGTAGATTCAGTTGGGAAGTAGACTGGTTGGTGACAACTAAGGAGTGAATTGAGAGACTTCTCGCCTAATGAGAGACGTATTTGCCAAATGTCTTATTTCCCTGCAGATCACCAAAGTAGATGGTCTATTTTGAATGATTGGAGCTTAATGAGTTAGAAAGGAATGGTGTGATCAACAGAGAACTTCGAAGTCATACTCCATGATCAGCATCCAACATGGTTGCCCTTTCGTCGTATCAATGTGCCATAACTGCCTTGAAGACTGTAGAACATGAAGAACATTATTACAGAAACGTATTGGTAAAAGTAGGTGCAAGGGAGGAGTTGCAACCACCACCTCATGGGCCATTCCTCGGCGTGCAATTAATTGATGCGCGTTAGTTGTCTCTGAACTTTGTAAGGGTCGGTGAACTGTTTGACATTCATAAACCCAACCACTGAATGATTTAGCGAGAGCCCTGTGATATTTCACCTGCTTTACATCCCCATCATGATGGAAAATGGCAACTTTTAGTTGCAGTGTCGCTAATACTTCCCATTCTTCTTCGATTGGAGGAGGCGGTAATGAGAACACTACCGTCGAACAATTATAAGCCTGGAGGGTAGGTTAGGAAATATTGTACATAATAAACGAAGGCACTTATACTGAGGTGCAGCTAGTTTTGCCATTCCACTGATTTGGTCGAAGCTGAGATGTCGGCGGATGTGTCAATGTGACCTAGTTTCGAGTCTCAATCGATGGTAGGCCAAATACGGGTTGGAATTATATTCAAAGTTGTCACGTCAACTTGGTGTATTGCAGACCGGAATAATAGTCGAGTTTACATTCATGTAGGCAATTAATTTGCCACATTATTATGTAGCGTTTATTAAAAAACTATATGATGCTGTGAATTTTGCTGTGACTGTAACCTCTTATTCACCACGTCAGACTGAGTTACGTCTGACATCGTTGTATGCCGTAGTTTGATTCCAGCTCGAATACGGAATAGTTGCCATGATCTGGGCTAATCAACGTCGTCTGGACGAAAGATGGAAATTTAAAAGTTGTGACTCAACATGATGGGGTGGTTATTTTATAAACTTTAAATTGTTGTAAAACGTTTACGGTGTTAATCAGGATTTATGTCTGAAATACTTACTGTGTCTGATTAGAATAATTCTTTTGTTCACGTTAATTTCTTAAAGTTGGTTATTGGCATACCAAACAGTGCTCGTACTGAAAGTTTTCATTGTTGGTTATAAAGTCTTGAGGAAATATAATAAAGAACTATCTGCTGTTTTCCATAGACCAATGCCCTAATCATTCGCATCGACAAGTTTGCCAATACTAACTACAGGTGACATTAGGTTTGCAATCGAAAGTGTTCTGAAACGTTGAGACTTGACATCATGAAAAAGCACACACATATAATAAAGAAGTTCAAATTGAGTAGAGATAGACCGGAAGGAAGCTACAATTGGGTCGTTTTTATTTGCCCCTTTGGATGCACGAACAAACCAAAATGGACTGGGCAGAGAGTGAAAGGGCAGTTTGTCTTATTCAATATGAAATATATGCAGAACAAAGTATATGGTTTTCAAATCAGTTACCAGAATACGATACGAACACAATAGGTTCATTATATCAATATGTCTTTCAATGCATAACCATCCATAACCAGCCAAAACCAGTCAGACGCCATCGCGCTTAGACTGGGTATTCACAAATGAAGAATTCCTAGTTGACGACCTCTCTATCCTGGCTCCCCTGGAGAAAAGTGATCACGCCGTCTTATAATTCAGCCTTGTCAGCAAAACGGAGCTACGATATCCTACTAGCAACAAGCGCTGGAACTTCAAACGGTTGAATGTGATAGCTTTACAGGACTATCTACAACAGGTGGATTGGGATGTTCACCCTCAACTTGAAGTGGATGCTTATTGGGATTTTTACTGCACACGATCCTATGTGCTACTGAGCATTCAGTTCCTAAAATGGTCCCAAAAAGCTACAAACAACCTCCAATCACCAAGAACCGCACTCGTCGTTTACTCAGCCGTAAAATGCACTGTTGGGTCGAATATAAACGAACCGACAATAACGACACATACAGGCAATATAAACGCATAAGGAACATATGTTCAAAGGCAATAAGAGAAGACAGACTTCAGTTCCAGACCAAGCTTATCAATAAATTCGTCTCCAATCCGAAAAGCTTATTCAGTTACGCAGCTTCTCTTCGACAAGGCAAAACTGGAGTTTCCCAACTGCTTGATCCTAATGGCCCGACCAATAATGACGGTGATGCCGCTAACCTTTTGGTTGAACAATACTCCCGGACATTCCAGCTGACCCACATCAACTATACTGACGAAAGCTTCACCTGCACCTGTACAGGACTTTCCGAAGTGGACCTGAGTGCTGATCTGGTGCTCCGTAAATTGCAGCATCTAAGAAAAGACACTTCTCCCTGTCCGGATATGGTTCATTCCGCAGTATTGAGGGAAGCAGCTTCAATCCTGGCGACACCATTTAGCGTGATGTTTTCACACTCGCTAAGTAGAGGCAAACTACCGGAAATATGGAAGCTGGCCCACATCACACCAATTTTCAAAGGAGGTCGACGCAGTGAACCCTCAAGCTACCGACCAGTGGCCCTTCTCTCCATACCTTCCAAAATTATGGAATCCCTAATATACGACGGTATACTAGAATACTTATCATCCTCAAAGTTCTTCTCATCTCAACAGCATGGTTTCAGAAAAGGTTATTCTGTATTATCAACCTACTGACTGCGGTGGATAGATGGACAACCATCCTTGATCGCAAGGGGAAGGTTGACATCATATACCTGGACTTCTCAAAAGCTTTTGATAGGGTCAACCATGCATGTCTTATCAAGAAGCTTAGACGATTGGGTATAAAACCCCCTTTGATTGATTGGCTCACTTCATATTTAGAAAACCGACACTTTAAGTTCAGGGTTAACTTCACTCTCTCTCTCAGGCTGTGGAATGTCCTAGTGGGGTCCCCCAGGGCTCGATACTAGGACCTCTTCTCTTCTTGATTTATATTAACGATCTTCCTCAACAAGTTTCATCTGACTTATTGCTTTTTGCTGATGATGTGAAACTTTGGAGAGAGATACGTAATCATAATGATATACTAGTTCTTCAGGGGGATCTGACCCGACTTCAAAGTTGGGCAGACGACAACGGACTTACCTTCAACACTTCAAAGTGCAAGGTAGTCCATCTGAGACATGTTGCAGACTATAGTTATAACTTAGGTAACTCCCCTCTAGAAGTTTCCTAAGTCGAAAAAGATTTAGGAGTGTTGGTACCCTATGACCTGAAATCGTACGCGAACTGTGACAAAAACGCCTCTCAAGCAAACATTGCACTGGTAACAGTGAAGCGCACTTTTGGCCAGTTTGACGGTAGAACCTTTCATATAATCTTCAACAGTTTTATTCGTCTCCATTTAGAGTACGGAAACATAGTATTTCCTCCCTCCCTCCAAAAGGATAAGGACACTCTGGAACGTATACAACGTCGAGCCACAAAATCAGTTCGGGGACTGAAATTCAAACCTTATGAAGAGCGCCTCAAATCACTTAACTTTTACCCGTTAGAGTACAGGCGTCTTTGAGGTGATGTTCTTATGACTTACAGTATCCTTAATACTTCTGGTCATCCCCTTAATCATCTTCTTAAGCTTAGTCATAATACTAACCTGAGAGGTAACACCCAGAAATTGGAGACCCTACATAACAGAACAGACTGCAGACGCAAATTCTACTCCGTTAGAGTTGTCAAGTGCTGGAATTCGCTGCCGACTGAGCTAGTCCAAGCGACCTCCCAGGAGTACTTTAAGAGGAAACTTGACTTATTCTTAAGGACTAAGGATAACATATTATTATGATTTACCAAATTTTTTTCTCTATTGTCGTTCATATACCTAGGTTTTTGCCTGGAGGTATTGGTGATCCACTGCTACAAGACACGGAAGCCCGTTAAGCGAAAGCTTCTTCTATTCCGTCCTCAACCAATTGAATAATTTGTGTAATCAGACATATATAGCTAATAATTCTTGATTTCGAAGTCTTAATAAGAGAAAGTTGAGAGCAATCAAGCCGGTGGTGGCTGCCGAATCGAATCCCAATTAAATAATAAGATAAACGAAGAATACAAAAAGACGTTGACAATTGACGGCTACAATGATCTAAATTGGAGCGCTACCAATAACTCAGACCTTGGAGTCATCACGGTGGTCTTACCAGATGGTCATGGTTGTGTGCAGCTACCGATAATAAAAGCCAAAAGTTAGAGGAAAAATGTCGGGTCTATGTTACCAGTTGCTGGACCGGATTGACAAAGAAATGCACCGGTGAAGTTTGTCACTATGACTCCTTTGTTTTAAGTGCTATTTACAAGACCGTACTTACTGTTTTCGGTTATGAATATTTTTCAAAGGTTCTGCGCGTTAATATTCTACAGACAGCAAATATCGATTTGAGTAAGTTTCAAGTCTTGCGAGAATGATTGTTAATCTTTTCATACAATACAATGTAGTGACAAAATCTTTTCTTTGTAGTAGTTCATACGAATAGATCCGTACATGTTCTGGTTATTGGCAATAAAGGATAGTAGTGCGTGTATGAAGACCAATCTGAAGTTTGTAACATATTACATCTGACTACTTTCCCGTAAGATGTTATCGTTTACCGAAAATTCTATAGGTCCAACAGATTTTGTTTTGACCATAGGTTTGTTTCTGTGAAGATTCTTAGACCCCATCCATCACTCTGTGGAAGTTCATCATTATCTACTGGACACTTGCTAGTGTGTGTGTAGATATTTATGCGTTCGAAACACTCAAAGAGTGAATGTGCTCCTTTGGATATCAAATCGTAGTGATTGGTTTGCATGCATATGAAATCTCTACTTCTGATGTACGTCCCATTTGAGAAACAACGATGCTGTGTAAACAGCTAGTGTCCGCGCGATAGGATTGCTGTTTCTCTGAAAAAATTTTTGAGCTCATCTGATGACGAATGTAAATTCAGGCGAGAAGTAGACTAATTGGCGACAACTAAGGTGTGAATTGAGAGACTTCTCGCCTATTTAGAGACGTTTTGGCTAAATGTCTCATTGTTTCCTCATTGTAGGGGAGAGTGGAATCTTTTAGTTGGGTTGTCGTCTAAATGAACACCGTTTTTCGTCGTCCACGACTGTGGCTGTTTAAATGCGTTGTATTTGCTTGAGTCAGTCGACTCTTAATGATTGAGAACCTGTATGGTTCGTCCCTCATTGATCAATTTCATCCGAAATCTTTCAATTCTGAAGAAAAATTCTTTTTCTGTCGCAGTTGTATTGTATTTCGCCCTAATTTGTTCGTATCGTCTACAGTTATTGCTTTCAATATTTTTTGTGTTCAGTTTGTTACTTACTACTAATGTGTTTGTAGTTAGATTGTTGGACGTCCAGGTCAGTTTGGAAATCGGACGATATTTAGTAGTAAGAATGTGTTGTTAAACGAAATACTACTTGTATCTGACCTATTTCAATTGTCAGAAAGGGATTCCTACTTTTCGAAAGTCTCTAATATCTTGTGAGGTGTGTGTATGAGTATATGTGACTGTGATGAAAACGGAGCCGAGTTTCAGTCTGTTCTGTTGACATTTTTGTCTTCATTGAACAGTCATTGAAATGAATATCGGAGCGACATTCTGAGTCACTTTTATTGTATTTTATATTTAATTGATCAATGTATTGACTGCTTGGTCTATTGTCTTCAATTTTTCAGGTTCTGAACAGTTTTTGTGGTAAATGATGATTCGAGTAAATTGTTTCAAGGAAGCTGAATGGAGTTTGTGAGTGTTGCATCCATTTAGTATTAGGATATTTATAATTAACTGTTGATAACTGTATATGCCTTTGATGAATATGTTATTTTCTTATGCTATCGCGTATACTCTAACTTTTGTGAAACACGTTTTTGTACTATCATTTGTACAAATAAAAATTAAATGCCAACAGTGTTTTTTAATTTTTTTAAGGACTATTTTACTTTATTTATTGTTTTGGGATTAGTTTTCTCAACCTGTGCTCCGAACGGCTGCTGGTAATCATTCACGATGTTTTGCATCTACTCGTTTTGAGAAGCCATTTTTTATTACGTGTCCAATATTTTACGTTAATGCAAGTAAGTTATTAGATAGATTATGGACTTTTAATAAGCATTCTAACTAGTGCTTATTCTTGGATAAACTTTATTTATTTAAACGCATAAATATTGGTACAAGGAAGCACCAGATATATATGCGCCATACAAATCTCATTCGATTTGCTTGAGGGCTGTGATACTGCCCAGGTGCCCAAACTGAAGCAGGTGGTTTTCTTAGGGGCCCACACCCGGAGCCTTTGACCGAAAGATCTGATCCACAAGGCAGTGGAGCATCGTGAGGAGATGCATTCCCATGGTAGCCGGTGATCAACGATTGATTCGTACGCCATTTCTTCCCTCAGGATACTGGAGCCCATGTGCACCATTGGTTTGGAATCAGGGTTTTCCAACTCCCCTAGGTGAATCCTCTATATCTACCAACCCGGTTAAAGCGCCGGACATTCGCTTTTCGTCCTCTCAATCTCGTAAACAACAGTAATGCCACGAGAAGGAAGCCAGTAGGACTTCCCTGACAGAGGCTATAAATTCGCTGGCCATGTGAGAGCATTTCGAGAGGGAGAGCGGACTCTCGACCGTACCAGGGGATTTGGGGGCTTAGATGAACTAACTCCACCTATATGTAATTAAACCTTAAGAGATAGATTCCTTAATCTTGGATATATATGACTAAATGTTACTTTCTCACCAGTCTGTATCAAATGAAATTCGAAACGGAGTAAAATAATATTTGTGTGGATTTGAAGGCGATAGATATATATTGCAAATAAAAATGTGTTGAATTTAGGAACCAAGATTTTCACTTACATGAAATGAGTGTATTTTGAGCATATATGTGTGTGCAAAATACATGTGGTTCGGAGATGTAGTGAAAGTGTTCACTTTTATCTTTAACATCGTTCTTTCATGAACAAAATATGGTAACCGCTGATTATTTGATAAATGGTCATTTGTACTTATGGGAAACAGCAGTAAAGTCATATATTTTTTCTTTACGTTTATTTTAAATGATATAGTTTTAAAGTCTTCACAGTTTAAGACATCTATGACGTGCATTATTATTAACAGGAGTAATGAGATGTACTAGATATCTTCATAGCATAACTAGTTTTGCTGTTTAAAAATACTGTCTGGTGGTTAGTAGATAGGCTTCACTGTGGGTTATCCTTAATTGGGTTCTGTGGGTGATTAAACTATAGATATCGTAATGCGCTGGTAAGCAAGAGTTATTTTCTAACGCTTTGTTCTGCTAGTCATTATATAACGAAACTATCATGAGATAACATTTTTATCACTATCTTTTTACGGTGATTGAACTGTCATAATAAAAATAATCAAATTGTAGATGAAGACTTATTTTCAATGTACACTCAGTGTAATTAGTAGGTTGTAATGATGTAGTTTCGTTCTCTGTAGGGCTTTTAAATCTTTCATCAGTCTCAACTGTCACCATATTAATTGGTGTAAAGCAGGACTTTACTTCTGTGTCTATCAATCGATGAGATGGTTTAAGCATTCACTTCCCGATTTCCTAATAGAGATCTTCAGTACCATGGGAGTTTATCACTTGAAAATAGCATTAGATGTGAACTCTATATGTCCATACCCACTTTAAAGACGTATTTTCAATGGACCGTCACATAATACGGTTTGCATGTAAGTCGAAATAGGTGTCTTATGCTTTTTTTTTAGATGGGATTATTAAATGTTAAAGATCTTTGAAATTACTTGTCGTTCTTAGAACGAATGTAAATTATTGTCGACAGTTTACTGGTGTTAACTTCTAGCATTATTTCTGTTTGGGAAGCTGTAAATCTGCTGCCTACATTTGTTTTAAATTCAGTCAGTCAGTCACAACGTAGAACTTCGTACGTACGTACATCAGTTCGAGTTGCCATACCACATTAGCACAGAGATGCAGTTGTCCATTCAAATCCCATAGTGGTAGAAGTAGTTAGAGTATAGGCAGTAATCCGAAAGATTAGGGTTTGAAGATGTTATTGAAGGAGTATAGTACAGTGAAATAAATTTGGAAAGAGAAAAAGGGTAGGGACATGAGGAATTCAGAAGATTACATTTTGGGAGAACACAAAGAGTGGATGCACCTTCGCCATTGCAAACGATTTTGAGCCATGTCATACAAGGTCTCAAACCATCGGTTGCTGTCATCTCGCGAATCCCAACCAGGTAGTCTACACCTACCAACATGGCTCAGTCCACTTGCCAGTGACTTCATTGATTTGTGCCACGTTTTGGTCTGGCCACCCCTAGCTTTCTTCCAACCTACTCCTACACCATAAAACATTGCACGTCGGGGCACCACCACTAAATTAATTACTCCTATGAATCCGGTGTTCATCTTGTTGTGCTAACGAGGTATGGCAACTTGGACCGATGCATATATGTGCCTGGTCCTACGTTGTCGCTGACTGACTGCACGTCGGAGTAATCGGTGGTTGGGCATACATAACACGTGTCCCAGCCATCTCAACTGAAGTTTCACTACTTCATCAATCGATTTGCCATCCTTGCCTAGTACCCGTTTCCTAACGACTTCATCACTTACTCGGTGGTCCAAGGATATACGGGCAGTGCTTCGAAGACACCTATGATCGAATGCTAGTAGCCTACGAATATCCTGTACTCTTATCGGCCATGTTTCACTGCCACAAAGTAGGACGAAACAAACTGCTGCACAGTAAACCCGTCCTTTGCTTGCTAGACGGATATCTCACCTACGCCATAAACGACGCAAGTTGGCGAGAGCTAGACGAGCCTTCTGTATCCGTGCTGAGATTTCGTCACACACCAGACCACAAGGGCTGATGAGACTCCTAAGATAAGTGAAGCGATCAACACGCTCAACGACTTCACTCCTTATCATTAATTCAGGTGCCGATTCAGCCCAATCCTGAAGTAACATTTTGCACTTCGGGGAGGGGGGGAGAATCGCATCCCTAACATACCTGCATAGTTGCTTATAGTGGTCAGAAGACTCTGCGTTTTGTCGGCGTCTTCACCAAATAGAACTATGTCATCGGCGTATTTTGGTACAATGAGATATAAAAGCAATGCTGCATACCATTCATCCGGTCAAAGCTTGAAAGAGGAATAAGAAAGCGAAACAAGGCATTCAGAGGATATCAACGTAATAAGAGGTTCTAAATTTCATATAATATCAACGGTTATTGTTTCTATTAAGGTAGCATCGACTTTGGTCTATATCCTCTAAGTTTTTCAATCATTTTACATAGTCAGGTAGTTTTCATTGTCTTTTCCAACCAGGTCTGATAGTAAATTTATAGAATAACGGCCTTATATTTATTTTACCTCATTATTTTTAGGTTCTTATTCTACACAATCCGCTTAAAAGGTATAAGCAAATAAGTTTATTTTCTTAAAAATTATTTGGAGGATAGTTCATGTATCTAGAGTAGTTGTATGAGTTATCCAGATAGCTACGGGGAGTTATAGGTTTCGTTTTCATTTGTACTCCAAGTATCGTCTAGATAGTTCGATGGTAATTCATTCGAGTTTCTCTTCTAATCACATAAATTTTCTGAAATTTTCACTCATCTCAAATCAAATATCTCTTCCAATTATTAGAACCTCATTTGGGCCATGCATATACCACATGTTTAGCTGACGCATGGGCAAGATATAGTTGTTTGCGTAATCAGCCAATACTGAAACCTTTCCAACAAGATTATATTGCGTCCACTTATTCGCCTGTGTTTGATTACTGCAATCTCAATAAAACGTTTTTATCTTGTGGGACTGATGAACATGGATCTAAAGTGAGTCGTTTGTGAAATTCACTTCATGCTTTATCCTTGATTTTAAGCTTGTTTGGTTTGCTCTTTATACTCTATCACAATAGTCCCTTCAACTTTGTTCTCATTTTTTTATAACGGACACACTGGCTATTTCCACATTTCTAGCTCTTCAGTTGAAGTAACAAAAGACCGGTGACTTTTATTATGATAACTTGTAACTCACTTGTATATACAAGTAAAATACAAAACTAAAACGTAGAAATAGCTAGAGTATTTTTACCATAAAGTGAGTTATTTATTAGCCTCTTTACCGGGTATAGATTCATGAGTTTCACTTTCAGTGTAAAGGCTGGTGATAATACCCCGTTGCCAAAAACTGAGGTAGATAAAGCAGGGTTCAAGTCTGCAACTTATTATCTGAAGGTCGAATCCATTAACCATTGATCCAGCTGCATAATAAGTGTGCACAACTCATCTACTGGTTTATTTTAAATCGGTTGAAGATTCAACAACAACAGTCGAAAATAGTGTATCATGGAAATGGTATGCAGATATAAAAAAACACCAAAAGGTAAATATCCGTTGAAAATATACAGACAAACCATTCATATTTATTCTCCCATGTCTCTTAACAATATTGCTATTTTTTAAGTGATGTAATTTGAACTTATACTGGCCAGGGTGTCAACAGTTAGCACTGAAAACGAAACTTAGCAATTACATCTTTAGTATGAAGTGTCTAAAGAGTTTCCGTCTTTTTACGGTTTATATCACGAGCTGATCTAAGTTTCGCACCGTTATTAAGAGCTAGGAGACACTGAATAGTGGTTTCGTTCCAGTATGGGGTTCTTCAACAGTGTGTGTGTCTGGATCCCCACTCTGTTGGGATCTGAAACTGCTGGGTTTGATCTTCAGTAGGGTGGCAAATGCGCACTTCTGAGGAGTTTTTTTGGTTTATGTCAGTTTGCCGGTAAACGCTTACGTTTCACTAGTATGAACAAGATCAACCTAAACCCTAACACGGATATATTCTTGTACCATATTCTTCAGCAGCAAAACAAGACGAAAAGTATTAGGTTGTTTCATTATGGAGTGGAATAGTTGACTAAATTATCAGAACAACTTGGATGTTATTTCCCGGCCTGGTTTTCTTTTCTGTTTCTACTTATATGGATGAACTGTGCAGCTTTCTTATTTTCACCTAGTTGATACTGAATAAAGCGTCTTTGCATACATCTTTTTCATTTTCAGGTTCGTCGTGCTGCAACTGTCAATAATCTTGATCCATTGCAGTATTGTAATCGAATGAGTCCTTTATTTGAGGTATTCCATTTTTAACCATTTTGAAGATGTGTATTCATGTTTGTGCCTGTACTCTCTAGTGAAAACTGGTTGGGAAATGTGAGTATCTGTAAATGTTGGTGAATGTATTTTTTGTGCATTTGACAGACAAGATCACTCGTGATAAAAACGTGAACAGGTGCTGATGGACTCTGTAGCACTATTCATCCTCCTGAAAATTATTATTGTGATCAATAGTGGCATGGCTCACAATCGTTACCCTCCCTAAGATCCTAAGTTTCTAACTTCCTCATAAATTTATCTTATTACTTCACTAATTTATATCAAATCGTATTTTCGATGCCTAACTTTCTATACAAACACTAATGCTATTACTACGTCTACTGTTTTGGGATTTGTTCCCGAATGCCCTGGTATGGTTGAGGGTGGGGAGAGTCAGCTTTTCCTCTCTCAAAATGTCCCTACACGGCCACGCGTATACAGCCACTTTCAGGGAAATCCTACTCACTGCCTCCTCATAACAGGGGTGTTGTTTATGAAATTAAGAGGACGAAAACCGAATGTTCGGTTCTTTAACCGGATTGGTGGACACGGAGGGTCCACCTAGGGAAGTTGGAAAACCTTTATTCTAAACCAAAAGTGCACATGGGCTCCAGGATCTTGAAGGAACAAATGGCGTATAAACCAATCGCTGGTCACCGGCTATCATGAGACTATCTCCTCACGATGCTCCACTGCCTTGTGGATCAGATCTTTCGATCAAAGGCTCCGGGTGTGCCGCCCCCTATGAAAACCATCTGCTTCAGTTTGGGCACCCGGACAGTATCACAGCCCACGCACAAATCAAGTGACTTGTGTGACGCATTTGTATTCGCTGCCCCTTTGTACCAATATTTATGTGTTCAAATAAATAAATAAATAATAATTACATCTTATTGTGCTAATGGGGTATGGCAACTTGAACTGACGTACATACGCATCAGGTCTTATGTTGCTTATGATTGACTGTCCTCACATGTGATATATGCTTAGTGTTTTAATTTCAAACCTGTCACATACATCGTTTTAAAAAATGTGAAAATTCTGAGAATCTGTTGCTCACTTTTGTAGTATTTACGTTGCGAAAATATTGGGGATTGTTAGTTGACAGTGGTACTCTATCTTGATATTTAATCTGTGAATTATGAGGAAGGATAAATTGCTATTGGTACAAATGTTTTCTGAAAATTGATGTTTCCATTGTTAATAACATGTTCTTATTATTTAAAAGTTTTTATTGTCTTATAAAGTATATATCTGAATGTGCGTGTGTATATGTGACTGTGATGAAAACGGAGCCGAGTTTCAGTCTGTTCTGTTGACTTTTTTGTCTTCATTGAACAGTCATTGAAATGAATATCGGAGCGACATTCTGAGTCACTTTAATTCGTTTAACTTTTTTCTAGCATGAATTTTATGTAATGAATTAAAATGGGTCGATGTCGTCATTCGTTCTGTTTTTTATCTGATATACTTTATTCGGTACTACTATGGTGTGGTCTACTTATATCCATATAAGTAGTATGTGGTTATGGTTAGACATAGAATGTATTTTGGCAGAAGACCGATAAGGAAAGAACTGAAATGAAGCGCAATTGGCAGGAAAATGCACGAACAATGAAATCAGGCAAGATGAACTGATATTTGCACAAGGAACAGTCAAGACAATTGATGGTTACTTTGCATATTAACTGCTCATTGTATGGTTATCAAAATTTAGTGAGATAGTCTGTGAATTGTGTCTAAATACATTCGATTGTCCCAAGTCGTGTTCTGTTCATTACACTACTACTGTCACATTTAATGTTTGGTTTATTTGTTTATCTTACTCTTACGATATATTTCCTAGTGTCATTTTAATATACCATAAAAACCTTTTTCCAGTGTTATTTAACAAGTGTGACTGCTAAGTCGAACAGATATTTCTATCAGTTTTTTTCCAACATTCAACTATTGAAATTCCCAATTCGGTATTCTTAGTTATTAACTACAACTTTCTACTTTCATTTAAGTTGTTATTCGATTAAGTGAGGTATTTGTTCTCTGTTCGAATAAATCATATGCAGTTTCTTACAAAACATGGAATTTAGGGGAAATTAAAGGTATATGTATGTAGTTAAAAAATTATTCAGTTACTAGGGAAACAGTTAAGTTATATATGATGTATTTTTTTTTCGTTGAAAACAGAGTAAAAAATACAGTTTTTGTCCTCGACTTGTTATATAGGCAGATCAAATTTTATCTAATGTCTTGTTTTTAGACTCTTTGTCATGCTACTCACATAAAATACAATGATTTCATCCGTACTACTGAAACTAGGCATGTGAAAGCTGTTCATCAGTTTTGGGTGAGTTTTTTTATTTTAAATTTTGTTCTTAAGTGAATGTTTCATGTATAATATGTGATATGGCTCACCAAGTACAGATTTGTATATTTTGTGGATGAAGGTTAGTAATACTACCTGGTTGCTCAAGCCGGAATAGTTGATTTGGGACTCAAAACTTCAACTTTACTGGTTAGGAGTTGAACGTATTAACCGCCAACTTTTCGAAGGCTCCTTCGGTCAAACCCTCAATGGGATTCGATCTCAGGTCTCTAGTTTCAGAGTTCACAGCGCTAGTCGACATACCACAAGACTTATTGTGCTCTCTCTCCCTCATATATATATTTATGTATATTCCCCAAAATTTTCTTTCCTTGTAGAACCGTTTAAATGCCAGTGGTAATGTTTATCGAAGCAAATATTCTGGTTGGTATTGTGTTTCAGACGAAGCGTTTTATGCACCATGGGAAATTGATGAAACGAATTTATCAGGAGTACCTGTGTCAAAAGAAACTGGTAATCCAGTGGAATGGATTGAAGAAGAGAATTACATGTTTAAACTGTCTTCATTTAAAAATGATTTACACAAATGGCTAGATTCAGGAGGTAAATGTTTTGTTGAATAGTGTCTGCATGATTGTTTCTGTTTTACAAGGACAACTAAAAAATATAGTTTTGATGTTTTCTTTATTGTACGTTAGACTTATTGTATTGAGTTAACTTTTAAACAATTTCTCGTTCTATTACATAACATTTTATTACAATGATTTCTTCGTTGACATTATGGGTACAGTGTTCTTCTGTTACTTATTGCCTAATTGAGTATTATGCTGTGGGTGTAAGTGCAATGGTGGTTATATTACGTGTGGAGTGTTCCGAAGAGGTGACAAATCAGTTGATTTGGCTGTAAAATATAATTGCGTAAGATTCCCTGGTTAAGGTTGTCATATTTGATAATAGCAAAAGAATCGAGGTAGTAAAATCTAGAAAAAAAACAAGTATTCAAAGTGTTTAGATTCGAGCTAATGTATTTAATATGTTTTACAAATGAGTATATTTAGGTCTCTGTGGTCATTTTTAAGCTGTGGTGCTCATAATTCCTACATATTGATTCTTACCATACAAAGAAACTCTTGTTTATTTTTATGATACCAACCAACTGTTAGTCGCTTCCCTACTTGGTTGTATATCTATGTGTAATTAGATACTTTTTCAATACACCAGTGAACATCTCGCATCAAAGTAAACTATCGCTTGGTATGAGTTATGTATGCCTACTATTTTTTATTACCTGTGGGTTTTTTTCAATATTATATGTTTTCAATCATTTTGAAATAGTATTTCATAAGTCGTCCAATCAATCAGTTTGGTGTAATATGGCACATAATATGGTGGATAATTCTCAAGATATATCTATTTCAAGACCAAAAAGTCGTTCAGATTGGGGTATACATGTTCCTGGTGATAATGAACAAATTGTAAGTTCTGTCTGTAAAAAAACTAGATATTCTTTCCAAGTTCCATACTTTTTTAAAACTTCTTCCTTGTCCCACCTCAAAGTTCGTCTGGTTCTTATGGAAATGTAAACATGTTTTTCTCTTCTCTGAAATTGGCTTATCTCCCCTTTTTCCCTCGTAGTCTTGATTATTTATCAATTTTAAAGGTCATTTTGGCTTCATTTTTTCTATCTGTCAACTATGCTCAAGACATGTTATTTTTTAACAAGTTAGTTGATGGTTCGAATCCTTCTCCATTTACTTCCGTCTGGTCAGTAAAAACTACTGTGATTACTTAAAGTTGGATTTCATTACTGACCAATATAAACTGGGGAACCATTAAATACTAAGTTGGCACTGGACATGTGTTTCATCCCAGTATGGGACCCTCCAACAACACGCAACCTCGACATTGATTTAAATCCAACCCCTAGGACATTTAAGCCTCGTGATTACGGTGTTTTGGGATAAGTTACTTTTTCAACGCGCTTAACCAATTTGCTCCCTATTATTAGTTTAGTCGTTAGCACAGATCAATCTTAAAGCAACAGTTTACATTTACATGGAGAGATGTATACATATTATAAATGGTTGCTTGGAATTTGTTAGCTTCCAGCGTGTTCTTTCTCTATAACTCTTCTATGTTTCTTTTAAAAAATAGGTTTATGTATGGTTCGATGCTCTGATCAACTACTTAACAGTTACAGGTTTCCCATGGTCAAATGTTAATGATGGTAGTTTTAAACAATCTCTTTGGCCACCAGATGTACAGTTTTTGGGAAAAGACATAATACGGTTAGTATTATTACTATTTATTATCATCATTACCATTTTATTATGATTATCATATGTAGTTACCTTTATGTTTTCTCGTGTTTTCATAATTAAAATGATTCTGTAGAATTTTATTTACATTCCCCAAGGTCTCTACAAGTCCAGTTAGTCATTGTCAACCTAAAGAGCCTTGGACAAGTTTGGATCAAGCCAAGTTGTCATTCTACATTAATACGACAACCTGGCTAGTGGAAATACTTCATGATTTTTTAACTGTTTTATAGGTGTGGTTTCATTTAATAATATGACCATTATTATAGATAATCAGAGCTTACTGTTATTGTGTAGGACGAATTAAAAATTGTTCCGTTATAAATGCCTCCAACCACTTAATAACTACAAATAGTGTCCCACGGTATTCAGTATATAAACTTGACAGTTAGAGAAAAAATAATTAATAAAATCCCCCTTAATCACTATTGTGGACTAATCAGGATAACGTCTTTTCAACTTCATACCAGTTAGTGTTTAAATGCCCCCTTTGTAATATGGTTCTCGTATATTTTGCATAGCCGCATATAAAGTTGAACTTTACTACTCATATTTGAGTGTAGTTAGGTACCTTTTTCATAAGTATATCTGTTATCATATATTTTTGTCCCTCCTAAGAAGCTTGTATTGATAGAGTGTCATATTTCGAGGTAATTTTCTGCAATCTTCTCTAAGAGAGTGTAGGGTAACCATATCAGTCATTTAAGTTTGTGTTTACTGGTTAGTTAGTCATTGAAAGATATTTTTTCCTTCAAACGAAATGAATTCCTGCGTAAACACTTACTACTCAGTTATTGGTATTCAGAAAACTAAATTTTGTGGCCATCTGGATTCAGTAGCAAATGATATCGCATTGGGTGTTACGATCGAAAGTGATAAATCTCCTAACTGAACGCTGAAATTGGTTTCCTAGGCTCTTCTATAACCCCAGGCTAGATCTACATGCGAACTTGAAAATGAGAGAAAAGGCGCTGAATGTCTTAAAAACGCTTTACTCCAAGGTTCGTTTATGAACAGAACATTTAGGGTATTTATAGCATTTCAAATTGCCTTGGGTTTCTGGAACCCTACTAAACATAGTAGCAGGATAGGTAATCATCCAATCGGAAAAGTGATCCGTGACTTCTTTTTCTAGGTGTTTCTAAGAGACTTCTGTTCAGTACTGATTGGATAAAATTTTTCATCCCCTGGGCTTTTTCCGAGGAATGTTCTGGATCTCCCCAACAGAAAGGTACTGGGTTCGAACCCCAATATGTAACATTAACACAGGTGTGACAAGAACATCTAACTGATGGTACCCAGGCAGAAAAAGAGCGCGCGTCCTGTATTCCACTACTAACCACATACTAAATGTTACTAAAGTTCTTACTTTCTTGTATATATGATTTTTACCGCCGAACTTTCTTCAACGTATTTGTGTAGAGAAAGAGAGAGATTGAGACACTACAAAAGGTATCTATTACTAACCTAATAGTGTATATTGTGGTACTGTTAATCAATAAAACCAGTTTATTCCTTTCTCCATAAATTTTACTTCTCAATAGATTCCATGCAGTTCTCTGGCCTGCTTTATTAATGGCTGTCAATCTACCGTTACCACGACTTCTAATTTGTCATCATCATGTACTTGTGGATAATGTTAAGGTAATTTTTCTTTTTTTCGTAGGAAAAGTATATTAGTTCATGAGATGGAGCAGTGGTTTATTATTATTAATAGCTTTATTCAATATTATATTTTGGTACAATATAGAATTATCAACACGAGGTATTTCAACAAGTTTTGTTTGCCGAAAAACGAAAAAGGTGAAAAAAGAATCTGTACAACTTATAAAATTTGAGACATGCTTAAGAATACAGGTTATTGACTAGGTTAACTTTAACAACCTGTTCGTCACAGAGTATATCTGCTAGGTAGGGTATTAAAGAACTTTTATAGATTTGCTTGCGTGAATGAATTTTAATGCATTTACGTTTCGTTCTACCAGAAGATATACAAATAAATAGATATGAATGAAGTAGTAGATGGTTAGTATCTGATAAGATAACACCTGCCAGGAGTTAGCAAGACTTAAGATGTCTATCCACAACCAGACTAATAATGGCCTCAAAAGATTCACCACACACCTTGCTAACTGCCTTCAGCACTCTCCGCATTACAGAAAAGTCTTTTCTCAAAATCCCAGAAAAGAATAATGGAGAACAGTAAAGAATGATAGATAATATGCAGGAATCGACAAATTGTAAGAGTAAATGGCGAGTAATCCCAAAGACATGCAGCCTCTGTATGTAGTAAGTCAAACAGCAAGCTTTTTTCGATAACAGTAAAACATGAGAAGATCAAGAGAGATAAGAGGAAAAGTAAAACCAAGATAATTGACCTTCAAGACTGTGTTTATCAAGGAGTCTCCAGTGGCACAGGCATTATGGAATCCCAGAATAGTGTATAGGTGCTGTCTATGTCTCAGGCTAAAGTTAATGACTTGATATTTATATGGATTAACTAAGAGACCATTACCAACAGAACACCATTCAATACGAGACAAAAACTCGTTCATTTCTATAGGATGTAAAGAGGTAGAAATTGGCATACATACAGTGAGGTCGTCAACATATTTCACAAAAGTGTTTCCTGTGGAAGATGGCAGACCATGCAGAAAAAAAGAGAAGAGGAGAGGTGAAAGAACAGCTCCTTGTGGCACACCATTAGATAGTACAGACGTTTAACACTTCCCTCCAAACACAGTGTACTGTTCTCTTCCAGAAATGTAGGAAGATAGTCAATTGGTTATCCAGCCGTCTGTGTTGACACTGATTAGCTTGTTAAGTAAGAGGTGTCTTGGGATCGAACTGAAAGCCGAAGTATAGTCCAGGCTTGACAGTGATCACGTCGTTCCGTATTCAACCACTAAGTTTCAGGTTCGAACCTCACTCTGTTTAATTCAGTCCAAACAGCGGAGTAAAGTATTATTAAGCCTCATACCTAAAGTGTGTCTCTAAGTCAAGTATCCAAATATGTGCATCTAGTAAATGGGTTATTAATGATAATGTGTAGTGCCAGTCAGTCAGTCATATGCAACGTAAGACCTGGCACATATGTGCATCGGTCCAAGTTACCACACCACATTAGCACAGCGAGACACAGTAATCAAGATGAACGTTCATGTGTTGCGATAAGTTAGAAATTATTAACATAACACATACATAGTCTTCAATCGCCCATTCGCATCTTTCGGCGTATTTGTGGTGTATGCTACTTAGGCTAACAGTTATAAGCAGTATGTAGCAGTAATCGGAATTGGGATATCTGCCAGCAGAAGACTGAAATCAGAAGAACCTAAAGGAAATCGGAAAGCAATCGAAATAACAGAATTAGGGGGATAATGGAGTATATACAGGACAACGCAATGAAGATGTGCAAATTATGTATTTAATGATTTTCATATTTTACTAAGCCATTGTGTAATTTTGCATTAGGCAATAAACTCATTTTCTCTACTCGAGTTTTGGTTTTCTACATATTCTACCATCTGAAATATCTTCTCGTCTGGTCTCCAAGTGTTCTGCCATCGCCGTGCTTTCAATGCACTCAAACTATTCACTCCGTCTGACAATTGTTGCAACTTTGATGCTACGTTGTAACTGACTGACTGGCTACGTTCCACCATATACTACTTACGAACAATCCTGTGAGTAGCGTCCACTACAGTAACAGTATCAGTAGTAATAATAGAAAAGATGTAAAAGGTATAACAAAACTTCAGGACTTAGTATTTAAGGTAAGACAAAAAGTGAATAAATCTACAGCAATACAAACAATTCTAAATCATGTCCCTTAAAGTCTTAACCACGTAATATGCACCTGCTTATTATGTCCTTAAAGAAACTGATGCACTCTGGTGGAGCATATGATGTCTGCATTGGCATACTTGGGTATTTACTTAAGATCCTTCATTACGGATGATTGCATAACAAATGATATTTTTTCTCTGATGAACTATTTTCTTAACCTGTAAAGTAGAATTTCGTACAGTCACTTGTCAACAATGATACTTTGTTTTTCCATCCATTGATTGGTTGTAGCCTGTAAAAGATGTAGGGAAAAGTTATTGCAAATCTTAGGTATGATATAACTTACTTTCACTTATGTCATTACTAGTTAAATATGCTTCCACATCTACTAGTTGGGTGATGTTGATTAATAGTGCTACACAATAACTGTTATTCGATTACTAGTCGATCCATTTTAAAATAACATCGATGACAGTTTTCCCCTAATTCATATTTTTGACAGCAACATTTGCTGTCACCGCGAGTGGTTGTCATTACTTGTAGTTTTCTATGTTTTATATATCTAAAATCGATGTATATTACTACATAAAAACAGAGTTGTTTCTTTTTGACTCCCTGACTTCTGTACGGAATATAAAGTTATTGTGAAAGTTTTGTTTTCTTTATTTCTATCAGTTTGTGGATTATTAACGTTGAAGTGTTTATGCATGATGGACATTCGGTCTACTTAAGTTCCTTTATGTTGTGTGCTGTATTAGCAGAATTTTTAGTCGTTCGTAAGTATAATCTATCTTAAGCTAGTCAGAAACCTCACTACTTTAATCGGTTTTGCTAAAATAAATACTGATATTCGACAGTACAAATTTACGGCAAATAAAGAAATAGTCGCTGATGGTTTTCCAAAGTAACAATGAATACTGTCCATTAAACCACCTAGTCCAGAGAACAGTACATCACCAAAAGAGAGAATGATCTAGTGGAAAAGTTTGAAAACTTTAACTGAATAAAGTATTTTTGGGAACATATTACTCAGTTAAGGGTTTACAGATGACCTGATTCCATTGGATAAAGTCTCTGAGTGTTAGTTATGTACGGAGGAGATTTTCTTGGTTTTAGATGGAAAAGAGTGGTGTTAAACCTTAGGTACAATATGGCTAACTTCCTATCGTATCATTCTTAGTCAAATATAGTTCCATAATTACTAATTTTATCTTTTACAATTTTTGTAAAGTGTAACAACTCGAACCGATGTCGTTGATTTCTATATTGTTTTGTTCAGTAATCTCTAACTTGAGTCCACTCATCATGTGACGTAGCACAACCATCTTTCAATCTTAATTATTTCTGGATCCTCGATTTAGCTAAATTCATCATGTGGAACAAATTTCTTCTTAAAAATGGCTCATTTTCGTTCAGTAGATGGACACTCATTTGTTTCTATTTGGTTTTTTCTTGACCAATAAATATGTGTTTATTCCGAAACAAAACTGCTTGAATTAAGTGTATGTATATACTTTATTTTCGATTACCTCTTGTAATGATAACATTTGCACAAATTATTAACAACTTCACACCACCATTTTACAAGTAGAATTTGTCTTTCATCTACTTTCTGCGTGTGTGTGTGTGATGTAGATGTCTAAAAGTAGAGGTAATCAAGTCGATCCGATTGTTGAACAGTCTGCTTTATTGTCGGACGAATTAAACAGCAATGTTATAACACCTGCTGAATCAGATCTTCTTCGTTATGTTTTGCTTCGCCTTCCTTTGCTAACATATGATGGTACTTATAGTCGTGAAATGGCTCGCAAAATGATTAACACAGAACTTGTTAATTGGATTGGAAATTTGCTTTCTCGGTGAGTGATCATTATTTATTTGTTTATTGATTTCAAAAAATAACTCCATGTCGAGTAACTTGAAAAATTCAGTAGTTATATGTATATAGCCTTGGGCGAACAATTCTCAAACTTGATTATCCACTTTTAATAATCAAATAGCATTTATTTTACTCAGCGTATACGAGCATCACTACATTCTTGTAAGTCATAAAGATGGTAGGTTGGTTTTGGTTCCAGCAGTTATATAGATCAAGTATATGAATTATTCAGAAATCCATAAGATTATATTCTATATCATTTGTAGTTTATACCACGAACTGACGTTAACATAAACACCAGTAAAGAATTGGAAAGTTATTCCATTGAATTATATATGGTCACTATAGTGATGACTACTTTCGAGAAGTGCCACTGAGTTTCTAATACGACCAGGCATAAGGCAGGTTATCACCAAATGGGAACAGATAGTGATCGTACAGTATTGTAAGATTGGGAATATTGAACATTAATGAATGGATACCAATTTAGTGGCAATGCACTCGTTTCAAGGCATGGAGGTTTCGGTTTCCATCTCGTATGAAGTTGTAGGTGCAGACTATTAGGATAACTCTATATTAGCCTGCAACAAACGTTCGATGCTCCTCTTCATTTTCAATGGTTGTTAAGCTAAAGAGGGCATCCAAGATTTGAACTACAAGCTAACAGCTAACGTTCACTGATTTATAATAACTGTTTATTTTATTTAGTGCGTATAACATATGTTACATGTACATGAACCTGATAGGAAGACCTCAAATTAGTTGACTATTTTTGTTGTGTATTAAGTTGATTTTTATTGCTATTTCAATTTGAATTTCGTTGGAAATATTAAAGCTCTCTAAAAATTGTCATTTGCTTACTCGCTCTCGTATTCTTTTGTGAATTATTATCGTTAAAGTATTGTACTGCACTACCGTCCTCCGATTCATCGACTTTGCGTAGATCCCGTTCCGTACAAAAAGGTGCCCTCGTTCGTTCGTAATTAAAGTAAGCTATTTCTAAGCATAACAACATTATCACAATTGATTGATCACTGGATGGTGATCAATCTCATGCATGTCAGGTCCTTCTTAGTGCTGATCGAATGCTATCGATCGAGTTGCAATGTGTCCACCAGTCTAGGTGGCTCGACACCGCCTGCACTATATATACTGAGGTAAGATGGTGGTGGTCGCGGCCCGAATAGCTCAGTGGTAACGTCTCTGACTGTGAAGCTGAGTGACGCGGGATCGAATCCGCCAGGGAGCATCAGTTCCCTCAGGATTACAGGTACACCTTGCTGACGAGTGCCAAGTAGCACGAAACACGGGTCCAGGGTTTCCTGTTGACCACCTCCAACCACCATCTTATCTCAGTATAACAACATTATCGACTTGCTCCGTTGACTACTATACTCCGGATAAGTTAGGAAAAAGACGGACGTCGGACACTGAGGCACTACTTTGTTAGTCTAGTGCTTTTAGGTTTTGAATGCTTGTATAACCTAGATCGGTTCGTGATCTCAATGAGAATCCGTGAAGTTGTTGACTGCTGATGTGACTCGTCTTTTGGGAAGTAAAGTCTTGATCCACATTTTTATAAAGAGATTTTAATCTATGATGCAAGATGCTAGGTAATAAAGCTGAAAGTTGACAGCAGTGACATGCATTCGTTTATCCCTTTCGAACTGCTTAGTTCTAAGTACTATTGGTACCATTATTCAACTAATTTACTTATCTACCTAAATTTCTGTTATGGTGATACTGAACGCTGGAAAACGGTATACCGATACAACGAGATACCAAATAGTACACTGATTATTTATTTGTTTTTCCTTGATTTCTTTTTACGAAATTGTCATCCACTGACATGGTTTTTGTTTTCTTCTCTAGCTTATCATTATCCCCATGACTGATAATAGTTTGAATGAATGCACCTATTCATGAAGGGTATTAAATAACTTATATTGTGAAGTTCTAAAACTTTCTGCCCCAGTTTATCCTTGTGTCAAATAAATCTGAGTGATTCTTACGATATATATGTATATCGTCCCTATCAGATATTATGTGATGCACCACAGTATTCGGTTGGTGCAACGAACCCATTCAACCACCCAGCCACTAAGTAATTGGAAACCTTGCACCGCATTCTTGGCCTTCACAATGTAGAGATATGTACAAACGAGCAAAAAGCACACATTGATCGGGTGTCTTTAAAGTTTTTTATCTAATTATCTCGTAGAATATAATTCAACAGAGATGCTAATAGTTTTTTCATTTATTCAACGGGAGTTATTTTATATCCACTTTTTTGTAGTATCATATCTGAATCTCTTAACCCTGAACAGTCTATCATTCAGATTAATCGTCAACAGGTTGATGATATGTTTCACAATGATGATTCGGATATGGAATTTTTAGACAAGTTAGTTTGTATAATTTCTTTTCTCATTAATAAAATTAATTATGGTTTGATTTTCTTCTGTTATGCCTATACCTTATGCAGTCGCATCAATCAGTTTCAAGGAAACAATATCTAGGTTTGATTGCGCGAAATCCAGAAGTCAGTGACCACTAATAATCGTTTAAGGAGTAAATTTAATAAGAGTATAGTATATAGGGACGAGCCAACAGAAATCAATAGAAACGATTTGTAGGTAAATATCATGTAGAACGACTAGTAGGAATTCCTTTGTATGGTCATGAGAAAGTTTAATGGTAACGAAAGGTTACTTTTTTCTCTCAAAGCAATCATGTTCAATGCTCATTTTCCCCTTGTAGATTGTATTGTTGAAGATTATTTCCTCTATATCTGACTCCAATAAATAAATAATATCCCGCTAACTGAATATTTACTGCAGGCTAAATCTCCAAGTAGAATTACGGGTTTACTCGAGATTATTCAAAAGTCTGAGCACCAGTTATAGAGATAGTTTATTGATGAAGCTCGGTAAAATCCGCAGGCGTACAGATAGCAAGCACACAGGGAAAGCAAGTGAGTGTGTGTGTGTTAAAAATCCATATATATTTATGAGTGTTAATGGATTGTGGATAAATTATTGATTGACTTTGTTTACAACCAATGAGAGAATAGATTAAAGATTGATGTGCAGACATATGCGCTCAATCAGACTCACACATAAATTTACAAAGTGGATTAAATGTTAGGATTACAGAGAGCACACAAAAAATACAGTAGTTGAATGGGCTTGCTACAGTATATAACGTACAGATCAAACCTACCCCTAAATGCTGACCGAAACATGTAATCATAAATTCCTAACGGTAATCAAAAACAATGTAGATAACTTCTGAAAATCCGTTGGACCTTTTTATAAAGATTCAAAACCATGGATAATGTATATCCATGTGGATGACTTATGTAGTCGTTGGTTTATCGATTGATAAACAGAACAATATGTAGTAAACTTCAATCGATTTATTAATTATGTATAACCTGTTCACCGTTTGCAATAATGTTCTTTTTTATGGTCTATTCATTTATAAAAGTTGTTTTTCTGATCGATTAACAACTAACCAAGATACTGTCGGTTTTTTGAACGCATTCCTATATCATACATACCCTCATTGATCTCAAGGAAGAAATTTTTTAAAGTTACCCCATGAAGAAGCTGCAATAACACAATTATAAGTCGCGATTAGTTACTTTCGGTACAAGTTAATTTATAACCAATCATCAAAGCTTGATACCAGTAAGTTTTGGAAGATATATACCACTATTTTAAGCACCATTTTGATATGAGCTAAACTACTCGTTTAGATATGATAGAGTTATGGACGCCTATTTCATATGAGTAACTGTGTCACCCCCCTATTCTCCACAATGCGTACAACAAACCGGGCTAGATTCTTTTGATTTGCTTTGTTAAGGAGGACCAAAAAATACACTGATCTGTGTAAAAGTATTGTCAGTTAACCAATCAGGTTTTTTTTCCAGCCCCCTTACTATGAGCGTAAATTCCAACACATCCCTTCGTGTTTGAAAACCACCCAATAATTGACAGGAATATTAAAATGTAAATTCACGATTTATTATTGTTGAATAAAACATCTTTCTATCATGAAGCAAGTGAATTTTATGGTATGATAACAAACTCAATAGTGCATAATTTTCGTTTGATTTATATTTCAGTCTAGATAATATCTCTCATCATTTCGACAAACTTTGGTGGTATGAAGCTCAACCTCATAAGGCTATAGAGGAAGTTTTAGGCATTATTCGACAAACCAATGCGTTTATTACTCGTCACAGTCCATGGACCGAAAGAGAATTATTAAAAAGGCAATTTATATTATCAGTAGTGTCTGAATCGTTAAGAATATGCGCATTACTTCTGCAACCAGTTATTCCAAATTTATCAATTCGATTGTTACATCGACTTGGTATATATTATGAGGGGAAAAAAGAACAAAAGCAATCGAATATCATTAATGGAGTACGTGTTCTAGGTGAAAATACTGGAAAATTTCTCCGTAGAATTAAATAGCTTCACTAATAATAACAAATTGTACTTTTTTCCATGTAAATTTTAATTTCAATGTCAAACAGTTTGTTCCCTCATTGTAATGTATATAGACAGTATTACTCTAATATAAATATACACTTGACTTTTGTATGAAAATCGTTTGCTTTGTGGAAAATGTTGCTTATGAAAGAATAGATTGTAGGCAACTCCTTGCGTATGTGGAGCATTTTTATCTTTATACCCGAAGTATAACAGCAGCTCCCCTGAAGCTAGTCTTTGTTGTTCAACCTGCGTCCAGTATTTCACTGATTTCAAGCACTTCCAGGTTGTATCTTTTCATTTCTGCAGCAAGCTGGATGACTCTCCCACATTGTACGAACATTCCATGTACCTAAATTAATGGTTGCTCTAGTTGTCAGAAGGGGGCATCAGCCTTATGACCTCCGAAGGAACTCGGCTTTCATCATGAGACGCCATAACTCTTCTAAATGTAGACCTTTTAAGTCCCAGGGCAGAGTTCAAATAGTTTGAATTATTTTTTTCTGGCTAGTGCTCTTTAGCGAGTTAGTTTCCTACAGGATGGGGTTGCTAACTTCATGTACAATTCTCCTCTTTTATCTGGGTTTGGGACCGGTAGTAGCCCCATGGGGAGTCCCCAACTACTTTAGTCGATAAATATTTACTAACTCATAAACTGATTTCCCATGTTTACTTAGTACCCTGTTCCTAACCCATACATTGCTTACTTGGCGGTCCCAAAATATAAGCGCAATGCTTCGTAGGCACTTATAAAGTAAAACGGAACAAACTACTAAGTAGTAAACTCGCCCTTTGGTTGGAAGACGGATATTTCGCTTACGCAAGTTCGCGAGAGCTAATCAAGCCTTCTGAATCCATGCCGAGATTTCTCCAGACGCCAAACCATTAGTGCTGATGAGACTCCCAAAATCAGTAGGGCGGTCAATGCGTTCAACTACTTGACTCCTTATCATCAATACAGGCAATGACGCAAGTCAATCCTGAAGTCATATTTTACATTTGGAAGGAAAAAACAGCATCCCAAACATGCTTGCACTGTTTCTGAAGGTGGTCAGAAGACTGCATTTTGTCAGCGTCTTCAGAAAGAATTATGTTGTCTGCGCATTCTAAGCCAACAAGAAGATCAATCCCTATAAATTCAGACGATGAAAGTGTTATCTGTGAAAACATTTCTATTACAAAGTTAAATAAAAATGGGGAGAGCAGACAACCCTGACGAACATCACCTTAAGTAACGAATTCCAATGACAGTTCGGCGTAAGCTCTAATTTGACTGGTAGTGTTTGAATAGAGACTGTACAAGCTCAATATACTTTTTGATACACTTTTCAATGACAGAGACTATCATAGGACCTCGTAAGAGGATTTCTGTCCTTACTTATAAACTGGGACAATCAGCGGTTGAGAACCATCCAGATAGGGTTACATCAATTTCCCAGATTCCAGTTAATCTAACTGCCAAATCTGGACCCCTATCGTTATAAACATCAGAAGTTAGTCCTGCTCTACCTCGCTTTAAATTACTCTTATAGCCTTTTCAACCTCACTGAAATTTGGAGACAATGAATAACGGAAGTGTGACTGAAGGTCAGTTCAACCGCTTCCTTTAGTATTCAGTCGATTGATTCAATCTCCCGGATTGAGAGTAAATAGTAGTCCCGTCTTTATCAGAGATAGTTTCACTAACAGTCGGATTTGTAATACCCGTTTCCTTGATAAGTCAGGACAGTTGTCTACTGTTTCCTACCAGTGCTGTCTTTTCTATCTTTCCTGCTTTCTCTACCCACCACTGCTCACGATCATTACGTAGGCTTCTCACCAGCCTACTTTTAAGTTGCCTTCACCCCTTATCGTATTTAAAGCCAGACGAGATGAGTTTCCGAGCATCTATCTGTTCCGTAGACGCCGATGAAGTTTACTGATTTTGATTTCCTTCCGTTGTAAAAAGGCGGCATTCTTGCAGATGCTGGTTGTTCGATGGAAACACCTTACTGCTGTCACACCCCACTACAGTCAGCGGTACGACTTCGCCTTCGAGCCTTAAGTTGCTGCTTGCAGTCTTATCGTTCTCCAAGAGACCTGGCTGGAGTGGTAGGACTTAAACGAACATGTGTTCCAGACAATATAGCTTACTTGGGTTATCATGATAGACAAGCCCGACCACCATGGTTGAGAAATTAACTCGTTAATTTACGGGGGTGTTTAGGATAGTATTGTTCAAATTTTAGTAGGAATCTCAGCCACACAATCATCATATTGGGTGGTTTTTTTCCCCATAGTTAACCTTTTTTCACACAAAAACGAGCTATTCACAAGTTACGTGGTCTATGGTTGGTGATCAATAAGATTGAGGAAGTCTCAGTTATCCACCGAATGTAGCACAACAGGGATATAGTGAAATTTTAAGAAATGGTGAAGTTAATCCATTTTGTCCATATTTTTCATAAATGACAGTAAATGTGGGACTACAGAGACTAATAACTTCAGATTCTTTGTACAACTACTTTTTCCCCAATTTATTCTTCTCAAATGCTTTAAAGTTCTCATCTAATATATCATCTAGATCACATCTTGTATGGATAAAGCAAAAATATGTTGCAATTATCAAAGAACACATAAGTAAAATTGGATATTGATAATCTGGTATATCTCTCGGCTTTGGGATATAGGTCATTACTGCGTGCCATTTTTTGTGAGTTGAATACCGGATTTGTTCGTTTTGTAATTTATCATTTTTGACTTCTGGTACTGTACTTGAATATGTTCTAGACAAACTATGATGGGCAGAAAGAATTTTCGTGGTTGACACCTTGTTAAATATGTTTTTTAAATAATGAATCCCAAATAAATTGCGAAAGAGCATTTGATTCATCCCGAAATTTATCAATTATTCAGCGGCAGTCCAATAATCTAGAAAAGTTATTAGGCGGTTATAAATTTATCAAGGGCAGTTAATAAACAAAAGAATAAGTGTTATCAGAGATGTTTCTTGCTATTGTAATACTGGTCTAGGACGTTCGAGGACAAAGAGGTGATTTACAAAAAACATTACTTACTGATCTCAACACAATAACTAGTGGAAGTGTAGAGTAATAAAAATTTAACATATGCTAATGTCACGATCACCTGGATGGAATAATACTGTTATTTTTTGGTGCAATTCGGATCATAATGTAGGTTAAGGATGAGTTACTTTAAGGAGTAGAACAGAAAAAAGCCAGTAGGGGATTCTTCTCAAATGACTAAGGTCCTCATATATACTGAACTTATAGGATGACTGTAAAAATTTGCCCTGTAGGAGTAGTATTACTGAAAGAAAATAAACCTTTCAGCCGGCATTATATTCAAAATAGCTACTTGTATTTTGTTACAAATAATATCTATTAGTGAGTCATCCATTTCATTTTTTTAAGTATTTTATAATTTTAACCCAGGAAGTTTAGGGGGTAACTGGGACCTATTGATTTTCCACACATTTTTAATAGAGTAATAATTTATCCCGCACTTCGTTGACTCTCTTCATGCTTTCATCTTTTTTTTGCTGTTGGAGTAGTCGCTCTCACATTTTCAACCTGCAAAATACCACTTATAACTGCAAATCGTGGCTTTCAATTTTCAAACGCTGCGTTGAACAGCAAGTCTTTATAGTTACGTCTTGTACCCCAAGTAGTAAATATGTGTCATGTTTTTTAAACTCCTCAAGAAACAATTGTAGCAAATCACTTAATTCCACATGGTTGATGTAGTATATGGGTACAGTTCGCTTTACAAGTGTCCAATAACTCAATGTCTAGTATTTATAAGCTTAAAAAGTGTATGCGATGAATGGACTTACAAGAACAAAGTCTACTTGTCGACTGAGTTTTAGTCGACCGTGCGCTGTCTACTTGAGAGCTTGAATCAGAACCTTAATCACTAAGCATATAGATGTCTGATTATAGTCTCGTCTTTTATCAACGACTTTAATGTAGAGACGGGTACAATAACAAATTGGCTCAAGCTATCACACATATAAACGGAACGAGGGGTGATCAATAGCAAAAGTCAGAGATTCGGCACGACGAAACAGTGATGAAAACGGAATGCGGAGAATATGGCGTAAAAATAATAAACCGGATCGAGTAAGACTGAGATTTACGATTTATAATACAAAGAATGAATTAGTTGTGGTATTCGAAGTATTGCTCGTGTATTTTAGGACCATCAAGTAAGCAGCGTATGGGTTAGGGATAGAATACGAGGTAAAGATGGAGAATCGACTTATGGTGTAAAACACCTGGCTGGGGTCTGTGTGATTATCGCACCCAAAGGTCAGACTTCGAATGGCATGGCTCAATATTGTTTTCAATGGTGCAAGTGCATTCATCCGTTTTCTCTACCTAGATTCTAAGCTTTTGAATTCCTGATAATCTTTGTACCTTAGTAATTTGTATTTTCTCGAACTGCATACCTTCGATGCCTAATAACTACAAACAACGTTATAACCTTTACTACTGTGATTTTTCTTAACATGGTAATATGAGCCGGTGTACACACTCACGAGGTTCTACGTTGGGCATAACGGACTGAATGTCGTTGAACCTGGACTGCTGCTCAAGTTCCGCGACTGAAGATTTAGACTATTTTGCAAAATACAACTACGAGGGAAGTGCTTACCAACGCGGCTTAGTTCAATAGCTAATGAATTAGTGAACCGATGTTATTTTACAAACCATCCGCTTCAGTAGACTGTTTTCGGTGTAAATAGACCAGTGACAAACTTTCTTAAGGTAGGAATACTTATATATGTTTATTTATTTAAACACATAAATATTGGTACAAGGAAGCACCAGATAAATATGCGCCTCACAAATCGCATTCGATTTGTGTGAGGGCTGTGATGCTGCCCAGGTGCCCAGACTGAAGCAGGTGGTTTTCTTAGGGGGGCTACACCCGGAACCTTTGACCTAAAGGTCTATTCCACAAGGCAGTGGAGCATCGTAAGGAGATGCAGTCCCGTGGTAGCCGGTGACCAACAGTTGGTTCATACACCATTCGTTCCCTCAGGATACTGGAGCCCATGTGCACCATTGGTTTGGAATCAGGGTTTTCCAACTCCCCTAGGTGGACTCGCCTTGTCCACCAACCCGGTTAAAGCGCCGGACATTCTCTTTTCGTCCTCTCACTTTTGTGAAAAACACCCCCGCCACGAGAAGGCAGTGAGTAGGACTTCCCTGGCAGAGACTATATATTCGCGTGGCCATATGAAAGCATTTCGAGAAGGAGAGCAGACTCTCCCCACTCTTGGCCGTACCAGGGCATTTGGGGGCAATGAGTCTCTGCGTTATTCACTTCAGAATGCATTAGTCAGATTTGACAAAACTGTAGTAGGTTATGCATCGAAAAGGGATTTGAAAAAAGACGATATTTTTCTGTTGTTTATTATGGGCTAATACTT